TAGCAGAGGCAATTGTGCCTTTCCTGAGCCCTCCCCCCAAAAGACTGGCAGGCGGGCACCATATCTGAGTCTCCATCAACCTGGCTCACAATCTTTGCCTTACCCTGGTGATTTCCCTGAGGCCCTACCCCACACAACTTTCAGGCCCATCCAAGCTGTTTTCCAGTGATTTTTCCATACAAATTGCTTATCCTGGCTCATGCTTCAGATTTTCCTAAATTCTCTCAAAAAAGCTACATCTAGCCTCAGCGGGCCCCACACCTCTTGCTAGGTGGCGCCAGGTCTACCACTAGCAGCAGCTGGCCTTGATACACAGCTTGGCTTTGCTTAGGTACCTCCAAGCCCAGCACAAGTAGGTACCATCTGCAGATTGCTTTGTAGCTTATGCCAGTGGCCCCATGCAAAACACAGGCAGTAGCTGACCTTGGCTTATACCTCCTGGGAGGCTCCAAAGCCAGTGCACACCATGGGCAGCTTCAGGCCAATCTGAACACTACCACCTAACCATCTCTACAAAAGACTCATTCAAGGGGTAGACTCAGTGGGCAAGAGAGCCCTGCTGAACTAAATCCTGCTTTGTGGAGTGAGCCACTGCACAACTGATCCTTGACAGTGGTCAGAGGCTAATGGTCAGTGGTCACACCTCATCCTTGAGCTGATCGACCTGAGTCAGTCCTTCCTGTTGACATGCCAACAGCAATCAAGGCTCAGCTACAAGAGGAGGGTGTACAAAGCCCATGTGGTAGGCACATCTCAAGTACACAGCTTGGGTGATAGGGGAGGCTATGCCACTGGACCCTACAGGACACCTACTATGTTAGGCCACTTTACCAAACATGGGATATGTAGCAGCTCTACCTCATACACAGGAGCAAATACAGGGAGGCTGCCAAAATGAGGAGACAAAGAAACATGACCTAAATGAAAGAACAGAACAAAACTCCAGAAAAAGAACTAAACAAAATGGAGACAGGCAATCTACCAAATACAGAGTTCAAAACACTGCTTGTAAAGATGCTCAGTGAACTTAGTGAGCACCTCAACAGCATAAAAAAGAACCAGTTAGAAATGAAGCATACACTAATCAAAATAAAGAATAACTTACAGGTAATCGACAGTAGAGTGGATAAAGTCAAGAATCAAATCAGTGATTTGGAATTTAAGGAAGCAAAGAACAATCTATTGGAATAGCAAGAAGAAAACAAGAATTAGAAAAATGAAAATAATGCAAAGATCTTCTGGGACATTTCAAGCATACCAACATTCACATCATGGGGGTGCCAAAAGAAGAAGAGAGAGGGCAAGAAGTTGGAAACCTATTTGAAAAGTAATGACAGAAAACTTCCCTAATTTGATGAAAGAGATAGACATACAAGTCCAGGAAGCATAGAGAATCCCAAACAAGATGAACCCAAAGAACACTAAGACATAGCATAATTAAAATGCCCAAGGTTAAAGGCAGAGAGAATCTTAAAAGTAGCAAGAGAAAACCTACTGACCTACAAGGGATCTCCCATAAGACTGTCAACTGATTTCTCAACAGAAACTTTGCAGGCCAAAAGAGATTGACAAGAAATATTCAAAGTGATGAGAAGCACAAGCAAGATTACTCTACTCAGCAAAGATAAAGAGCTTCCTGGACAAAGAAGAGCTAAAGGAGTTCATCACAACCAAACCAGTATTATATGAAATGGTTACAAGTTTTCTTTAAGAAGAAGAAAAAGATTTTTTAAAATATGAGCAATAAAATGGCAATAAATGTGTATCTATAAATTATTGAATCTAAAAACAAACCAAGAAGTAGAGCAGAAGCAGAATCATAGATACAGAGAACACTTTGGTGATTGCCAGATGGGAAGAGGGTTGGGAGAATAGGCGAAAAAGGTGAAGAGATTAAAAAGTGCAAATTGGTTGTTAAAGAATAGTCATGGGGATGTGAAGTACAGACAGCATAGGGGATATAGTCAATAATAGTCAAATAACTATGTATGGTGTCATATGGGTGCGTGATTTGTCAGCATGATCACTTACTAAGTTCTGTAATGTCTAATCACTGGGGTGTACACCTGAAACTAATGTAGTGATGTATGTCATCTGTAATTGAAAGTAAAAACCATTTTAAAATAATAAAAATAAAAGCTTTGTACCTTCAAAAACAGTTAAAATAATTAAATTTTGTTATGGCTATTTTATAACAATAAAAAATGAGGAAATAAGAGAGAAAAACAGATTACTTAGAAATAAATAACAATGAAAATACTATGAATCAATATTTAAGTTCTGTTGCTAATTTAGAGTTTTAAATTTATTTCTTAAAAAAGAAAGACAGAATGTAAGTGAAAGAAGGATATCATTTAGAAAAGTACAAAAATAAAAAACCTAAGGAAAATAGAGGAAGTTGTATAAATTATCAACAGTAAAATAAAGGCAAAACATAGCAAAACAATAAAATCAAAACAAATCAAATTTTTACATTATTCACTAAAAAGAGTAATATAGACAAACTTTTGAAAAATCTAATCAGAGGGAGAAAGACAAATATACAGGAAAGCTTAAGAAGCAGGAAGACCAAATAAGCACCAAGAATATTTATTTATAATGTCTAACATTTTCTAGATGTAAATGATTAAGATTAACTAAAGATGATGTGAAAAAATATTTAAATAATCTCAGAAGAAAGTGAAAGTAGAATCAAACATGTACTACTTTGTGAAGGACTACTTATTCCCAGGTTTTGTGTGTTTTTTTAAATAGAGATATTTCATTTATTTTTCAATGCTATACAAATAAATATCAAAAATATTTATTGATCACTTTGTATTTATTATGTCATGTTAGATATATGTCAAAGCAAATCAGATGTGGATTTATTTTGTTTTCATAGAAATTTAAATTATCCATTACTATTTGCTTAATAGGTGTAATTCAGCTTATAATATATTGTGTTATTAATATCACCCCAGTTATAATACTCTTAATACTGTGCTGGGTGCAAAACAAAGCAAGTTAGCCTCAGTTTTTTAAAATGGCAGTAAAAATAAGGATAAATAAATAACAGCAAAATTTATTGTATATTTACTGTGAGTCAGGAATTGTTCTGTTCTCATTTGATTATCTCATTTATTATTCATAATATCCTTACAGGTAAGAGGAAGTAGTATAAATTGTTAATTTAGTAAAATAAAAGCAAAAACATTAAGTAATTTGCTCAAGTTCCAAGCCAGAATTGGCAGGGTCAGGATCTGAATCCACACATTCTTAATACAGAGCCTGCATCTTTAATCTGCCTCTCACCACTGACAGCTGTCCAGTAAAATGGCCAAATGAAAACCACAGAAAATTCTCCATTTTTCTTTGTCTTATGATATTCATTGTAATTTTGTTCTTCTTCATGTAGACCACCAAGACCCACATGATGCAGTATCTTATTTATTGCAGTATTCCCTTAAAGTGCAGTGCTGCGGTACACAATGGAAGTTGACAATAAACTAAAGAAGCAGCATTCCTCTTCTCTTCCCTGCCCTTTCATTGACTCTGTTAGGAAGAAACAAGAAATGAAGTTCTTGATCTCCATACCATGTAACAGTCTCTCAACACTTGTCTCCACATGGTCAAAGACTCATCATGTTACATATCCCTCCTGCTTTATTTACCAATAAATTGGTGAAACATAAGTCCAAAGAAACAGGTGTACAAGGCTTTTGTCTGTAAAGATTAAAAAATATGTATTCTAACAGAATCTATCCCATTCACCAAGTAATTGGATGGTTACATTCAAAAGACTTTCCTTAACCCATTTTTAATTTTTTTAGACCCCAAATCCACTGTGGGAGAGAAAGGGATTATAAGCACCTCTGTATGGAGGCTGCAGGATGAAGTGACAGTGCAATAACTTACCACTCTCCGTGCTGTGTCACCAGAGCCCCCATTCTCCTGTGGAGGTATAAAGTTGTTGGAACTCCTTGATACCCTCTTCAAAGCCTTTCTCTGTGAGGAGGAATGGGTGAAGGAGGCAGAAGGAGCACCAACTATAATAACATAGAGTAACTTTACAAGGTCAAAATTAAATGTCCCCCAAATTGTAACATTTTCCAGCATGAGGCAGTATGGCCTTGCCCTAGGTCCCCCTGGTGACTGTAACAGGTATTTAGAAGTAGGTGACCTCATTCTGAGCATCCAATAAAGCCTCCACCTGGGAGAAGCTCAGCGACTAGAACCATAGTTAACCAGTGTTGTAAGTCAGGTTAGAGTTTTAATTAGTACTGTGGTTCCTATCAAAACACCTGGGGTACTAGTCAACTAAGTGATTCAGTCAGACAGAGCCCATAGAAATCTCTGTGGACAAGAACTATATACCTGCACTTCAATGGGCTTACTGGTTGATTAACTGCTTTTCCTAGTTTTTTAAAAAAACAACTTCACTGATGTATAATTAATACATAATAAACTGCACATGTTTGAAATGCACAGTTAATAAGTGTTGATATATGTTTACAAATGTGAAGCCATCACCACAGTAAAAATAGTGAATATATCCATCACCTCCCAAATTTTCCTTGTGCTACTTTGTAATCCATCTCTCCAGCTCCTCCCCTGTCCCTATTCCCAAGCAACCACTGATCTGCTTTCTATCACTATGGATTAGTTTGCATTTTTGAGAGTTTTATATAAATGAAATTATTTGGGAACATTCATGGCTTAAGCTTAAAACTACCAAAAAGGAAAGTCTGAATTTAAAAAAAGTTTTTGGACAATGGAAGGTGATGTTTGTAACAAAAATGGACAAGATATGCACATTTTCTGTAATACTTTTCTCCTTCATGAGTGTACTTTCTATATGAATTTCTATTTTGCATTATTAAATAGTATAGCATGTCTAAACATAATTTTTTTAAATTAAAACTTTACTAATGTTCCAGTTTTATGTCAAAAAGATATTGCCTCAACCCAAAGTTGTTTCACTTGATTTTTGTTTGCTTTTGTTTTTAACCTTTTTGCAGAGCATACAGGATTGGGCAGTGCAGGGATGTCAAAGTGTTTAGGCTGATATCTTTGGGAACTGTGGAGGAGATCATGTACTTACGACAGGTGTACAAGCAGGTAAATATATTTCCCTTCTAATTAAAAAGTAAATGCCTGTTTTCAAGAATTAAGAACAATTTTTGTAAAACTATATTTTAATTATATTCTAAGTGTAATATGGCATTTAATAAGATTATTAAATATACTCTAGAATATACTTCTATAAAACATTTTAGGTTCACTGAATTTTAGAGCTGAAAGTTTCTTAGAGCAGTACTTCTTCAACTTTAATGTGCACATGAATCAATTAGGGATATTTAAAATACAGATTCGGTCCTGGCTGGGTGGCTCAGTTGGTTGGAGCATCGTCCCATACACCAAAAGGTTATGGGTTTGATTCCCACTCAGGACATATACTTAGGCTGCAAGTTTAATCTGCAGTGGGGGCATGTACAGGAAGCAAACAATCCATGGTTCTCTCTCACATCATGTTTCTCCCTCTCCCTCTCTCTGTCTTCCTCTTTCTCTAAAATCAATGAACATATATCCTTGGGTAAAGATTAAAAAAAATACAGATTCTGATTTAGTGGATTTGGGTGGAGCCCAAGATTCTGCATTTTTAACAAGCTTCAAGGAGTGCCAAACACTACTAGTCTGTAGACCACAATTAGAATAGCAAGGTCACAATTTCCCAATCTGTGGGCCAAACATAATGTTGTATCACCAGTGGGATCCGGGTTTACAGAAACATTGATCCCACAACTCCGAGCAGGAAGATTATCTAAGCCGGCATCCAGCCTTGAGTAACAACCTCTGTTTACTCCAGGTAGATGTTACCATTTTCTATATGTGCCATGAAATAAAGAAGAGTGAGGAGAAATGCCTTAGAGATAGCTAAAGCCACCATTTCAAAGCCATCCCAGTAAACAGAATTACAGGAATCAAGTGCAAGTGTCCTACTGTGCTGGTACTGTTAGTATTCATATAAAATTCCATTAACTCTTTAGTATCCTTAGGGTATCAATTACTACACCATTTCTGCTTCTAAATAAAGTTTATTTAGTTTAGAACTGCTGACTTGAGAAGATCTGGAATGAGGTTCAAGTTTAATTATAAATGTTAAATTTGAATTACTCCCTATATATTGAGTTGGCATCTCTTTAAGAGCAAACATCTGCCACATGTGGTGGTAGTTAACCTAAGAATGATCCAATCTTAAATTAATGCTGTTTTCTTAATTCTAAAAATAGAATTGTACACAGCAGTTTTTGTTTTTTCTTGAAGCATTTAGTTCTGTAAGAAGCCTTTCATCTTTTTGTTCCTTGGTATAACAAACTACTTAAAAACTACTTCTTTAGACATATTTAACCAATCTTGCAAAAAAATAGCATATTATTTTTCAACTTAGGAGCAGTTCTTTAGAATAGTATCTTAGCCTATCACTAGTAAGAGTTTTTCCTCAATCATGTAATTTTTCTCAGTCCCATTACTATATATATACAGGGTGGGAGAAAGTAGGTTTACAGTTATTGTATGGAAAATAATATAGTAATTAATAAATAATAATACAAGAATAAACTCTGTTTTGTGTACTCACAACTGCAACCTATTTTTGTTCTACCCTGTATATACTTTTTAATTACTCATCTCACTCTATAGTAAAATAACAGCCTGTTATATAATATATATTATATAATATATAATAAAAAGGCTTCAGAAGATGATGGTAATTGAAGTTTTCAGAACTTTGTAGAATCTAGTTACTTATTAAAATATTTCTTAAATGTGAGTACTTAGGGAACATTTAGCCATACAACTTGGTAGGCACAAATAAAAATAAGATGGCAGTCATGTGAGGAAAAGACATTAAATGTGATTTAAAGATTGGTTTTAGTTTGAACCAAGGATATGTGTGTTGTGCACACTCTAGCCTCCCAAGTGTTTCTCAGATCTTTTGGGGAAAATAAGCATCTAAAAATGACATTTAGGGAAAAGAACTATAAAGATGTGGGGAACCAAGAATTTTCTATGTGATCCAGAAATTATAAGGAACCCTGAAAGACAGAAAACAATTGGGATTGAATTAGAGGAAGAAACTAAACTAAACTTAGTCAGGAAAAAGTTACTGAAAAAGGTAGGTGTTACTTCTGAATAGTTTGAGGTTAGAGTTACCAGATACTAAAAAAATAAGGAAACTTGGGGGTAACTGTGGTACTCATTCTTTAGGGTATCATTGCGACCTAATAAGGTGGTTTAACACTTAACAATATTATCCCACTGTACCAAAAGACAGCCATCAGAGGTGTCTGCTCTCAAGAGGAACGAAAATTAGAAATATTGGAAACAAAGAACCAGGGTGGAGCTTCAAAGTTTTGCTAGAATCAAAATGGAAGTTCCTCTTATTGCCTAGAAGATGAATTACGTGCAGATCCCCCACTTTGAATTATCACTTCAGTGGGCTGAGATAAATATGTAAAATATTTACCCAACAAAAAATAATTATTTAATGATTTAGAAAAATAAACACTGAAAATGGCACTCAAAGATAACCAGGTTCTAATCCCTAGAACCTTTTCGTGTCACTTTATATAGGAAAAAGGTATCTTTGCAGCTGCAGCTGGCAGAACAGTCGGACCCACATTTGCATGCAGAATTATAGGATTGAGACAGACCACACAACCCAGGGTTCTAGCATAGGGAAATAAAGCCTCAAAACTTCTGACTGAAAAAACCTTTGGGGGTTGAGATGGCAGAAAAAACTCCCAGTCTCACAGGAGAGTTCATTGGAGAGACCCACAAGGTCCTAGAACATGCACAAACCCACCCACTGGGGAATCAGCACCAGAAGGGCCCAATGTGGTTGTAGGTAGGGGAGGAAGTGACTGCAAGCCAGCTGAGAGCTGAGCCAGAGGCATTGTTCCCTCTTGGGCCCCTCCCTCACATCAGTGTCACAATGTAGTGACATGGGTTGTCCCACCCTGGTGAAAACCTAAAGCTCCACCACTTACTACGCAAAGGTGCACCAAGACAAAAGAAATATGGCCCAAATGAAAGAGCAGATCAAAATTCCAGAAAAAGAACTAAGTGACAAGGAGATAGTCAACCTATCAGATGCAAAGTTCAAAACACTGTAATCAGGATGCTCACAGAAATGGTTGAGTATGGTCACAAAATAAAGGAAGAAGTGAAGTTTATGGAAAGTAAAATAAAGGAAAATGAACAGGGAACCAACAGTGAAGGGAAGGAAACCAGGACTCAAATCAATGGTTTGGAGCAGAAGGAAGAAATAAACACTCAGCTGGAACAGAATGAAGAAACAAAAATTCAAATAAATGAGAAGAGGCTTAGGAACCTCTGGGACAACTTTAAATGTTCCAACATCCAAATTATAGGGGTACCAGAAGGAGAAGAGGAAGAGCAACAAATTGAAAACTTACTTGAAAACATAATGAAGGAGAACTTCCTCAGTCTGGCAAAGGAAATAGACTTCCAGGAAGTCCAGGAAGCTCAGAGAGTCAGAGAGTCCCAAAGAAGTTGGGCCCAAGGAGGAACACACCAAGGCATAACATCATAATTATGTTACCCAAGATGAAAGATAAGGAGAGAATCTTAAAAGCAGCAAGAGGAAAGGAGACAGTTATTTACCAAGGAGTTCCCATAAGATTATCAGCTGATTTCTCAAAAGAAACCTTACAGGCAAGAATGGGCTCTGGATAGAAGTATTTTAAGTCATGAAAGGCAAGGGCCTACATCTAAGATGACTCTATCCAGCAAAGCTATAATTTAGAATGGAAGGGCAGATAAAGTGCTTCCCAGATAAGGTCAAGTTCAAGGAGTTCATCATTACCAAGCCCTTATGATGTAAAATGTTAAAGGGAATTATCTAACAAAAAAGAAATATGAACAGTCAAATAACAACAAACACAAGTATCAACAACTGAACCTAAAAAAAAACAAAAACAAACTAAGCAACAACTAGAACAGGAACAGAATCACAGACATGGAGATCACATGGAGGTCTATCAGCTGGGAGGGAGAGCAGGGAGCATGGGGGAAAAGGTACAGGGAATAAGAAGCATAAATGGCAGGTACAAAATAGACAGGAGGTTTAGAATAGTATGGGAAGTAGAGAAGCCAAAGAATGTATATGTGGGGACATGAACTAAAGTGGGGGAATGATGGTGAGAGTGGGGTGCAAGGCAGAAGGGAATAAAGGGGAGAAAGAATAGGATAATGTGTAATAGCATAATCAATAAAATATTTTTTGAAAGGTGTCTTTGCAGATAAGATTAAATTAATGATTTTGAGATAGGGGAGATTAGCCTGGATTATCCAGGTGGGCCTAAATCACAAGTGGCCTTATAAGAAAGAAGCAAAGGGAAATCTGACACAGGAGAAGAGAAGACAGTGAGGCCACAGAGGCAGAGATTGAAGTGATATAGTTTTAAACTGAGGAATGCTGGCAGCCACAGGAGGCTACAGAGTTAAGGAATGATTTCTCCCTTAGTGCATGTGGACAAGGTACAGCCCTGCTAAACCTGGATGTCAGCGCAGTGATACTGATTTCAGACTTCTGACCTTCAGGCTGTAAGAATATATTTCTGCTTTTTTAACCCACAAAGTCTATGATAATATTACAGAAGCCATAGGAACTAATACAGGCACTCAAAATGAGAATTCACCTCAGAGAAAAGAGAATTAATAGAACAGATTATGAAAGAAATATAACTAATATATTCAAATGCTAAATTGAGGTTGTAGGACCCTAGGAACAAGAACATAGTACTTGGAAAAATAATCCATTAGAAACCCCGTAAATGAAAATCTTCAAAGATAGGCTTAGCAAAAACAAAGTTTTCATCTAAAAGAAAGACCCAAGCAATTCTACATTACAGAGCAAAAAGACCGTGATACAATGCATGGAAGAAAAGTTAGAGGAAATGAAAGCTATATCTAGAAGTTCTAGTATTAGCCTTTTACATTTTTTAAATTTTTATTTTATTTTAAAAATTTGTATTAAAAATATTTAATTAATTTACATTCAATATTATTTCATTTTACTTTCAGTTGTACACCACAGTAGTTAGCCACCATTATTAGTCTTATAGTTGAAGAAGAGAACAGAAGGAAATGAAAGGGGAAAGCCCCAAATAAAAGAAACATGTAAAAAGAAAACAAGTCCACGAATTATATGGACCCAGCAAGTGCTAAATGGGATGAATGAAAATAGATCCACACTTAACACTATCTTTCTATAATTGAAGAAAGCAAAGATAAAGTAAAAAACCTTAAAATTTTCAGAGATAAGCTTTCTAAGAGAAAAAAATATGTACAATAGTAGTAGATTTAGATGGATATCTTAAGTTCTTTTTTTTATTCCTCACCTGAGGATGTTTATTGATTTTACAGTGAGAGAAGGAGGGAGAAACATTGATGTGGGAGGGAAACATTGATCAGGTACCTCTCATCCACACCCCGACTGGAGATTGAACCTGCAACCTAGGTATGTATCCTGACCAGGAATCTACCCCACAACCCTTTGGTGTGTGGAATGATGCTCCAACCAATTGAGCCACCTGGCCAGGGCGACATCTAACTCCTTATTAATGATATTTCATACTTAGGAGCAATCACTTCAAATAAGGAGAAATAATATCCATGTATTGTCAAAGAAAGTAAATTATTAATTCAAAACTTTCCACAAAGATTCTAGGCTAGGTGACTTTAGCAGTGGATTCTATCAAACATCTAATATTCTTTTTGGAAACAGAAGAGTGTTCTTTTTGGAATACTTACAACTTACTTTAGAAAGATAGATGAATCCTGATACCAAACTTGACAAAGACATTTCAAGAACAGAAAGTTATAGGCCAATATCTCTCATAAACATAAAGGTAAAAATCTCTAACACAGCCTTGATTAGAAGTCGAATTGTGCCCTTCCCTCCCAACCTCCCAAAAAAGATATAAGTTCCAACCTCTGGTACCTGGAATGGGATCTTTTTTAGAAGTAAGGTCTTTGCAGATATAATCAAGTTATGATAAGATCACACTGGAATAGGGTGGGATCTAATCCATTGACTGATGTCCTTGTAAGAAGAGGGAAACTTGGACACAGGTGAACACAGGAGAATGCTGTGTGACAGGGGAGGCAAAGATTGGAGTGGTGCAGCTGCAAGCCAAAGAACACCAAGGACTGCCAGCCATCACCAGAATCTGGGAGAGTAAGAAAAGGATCTTTCCTTAGAACTTTCAGAGAGATCATGGCCCTACCAACACCTTAATTGCAGATTTGTAGCTTCCAAAACAGTGAGAGAATAAATTCCTGTTGTTTCAGGGCACGTAGGCTGTGGTACTTTGTTGGAGCAGCCTTAAGAAACTAATGCAGCCTCTAATGTATTGTAAATTTGACTACATTTTTATATAAAACTTCTGTATGATAAAGTAACTATAAGCCAACTTAAAAATGAGACTAGGAGGAAATATTTGCATATATATGTAGCAAAGGATTAGCATTTACCATATATAAAGAACTTCTACAAAACAATAGAAAAGTTATGATTATGTATTTCACTAAAGAAAAAATATACAAATAGTTATCACCTGTATGAAAAGATGCTTAACCACAGTTGAAATATAGAAATACAAAATAAGATAAGATTGTGTTCTGTACTTTCTGCCAAAGGCTTTTTGTTTTGTTTTGTGAGGTTTTGGTTTATTTTTTTAGAGAAATTGGGAGATTGGTGCTGTTCATTGTTGTTGGTTGTATTGTGAAGAGGTATTCCTATCTTGTTTTTGAGAATACAACTTTACACATTTATTTAAGAGGCTAATTTAACAGTATTTTAAAACATATAGCACCTTCTCCCTATCTACCTGACAGTAACACTCTCACATATAAACAGCGAAGGATGATAAAGATTTATATTCACTGTCATTAGTATTTGCTTTAAAAATGAAAAATAAATAGCCTAAGTGCCCGATAGTAACAGAATAAGAGCATAAATTCTTGTATACCCATATTATAGAATACTCTGCAACAGCAACAAAAAAAATTATAGTCAGAGCAAATGTGCTAATATGGCAAGATCTCTAAGACATTTTTAAGTGGGGCAAAAGAAGCAAGTTGCAAAACATGTGATCAATTGTGTTTATGCATAAAACTATTCAATATTTCTATTTGTATATATTAATAGCATTGAAAAATATCTAGAAAGATACACCTTACCATCTCACTGTTAGCTTTACTGAAAAGGGATAATCTGTATTGTTCAAGAGAGACTTCCACTTTGACATGTTTTGTTGGGGTAATGCATACAGATATTTTATACTTTTTAAAAATGAGAACATCATCTACACAGCAACTTTACTTCTCCAGGTTTGGAACATTGCATGTGATCTACAATTTGGCATTTAGAAATTCACCTTTTGTATGTATATAATTTGTTTAGTTTGTATTTACAGAAGAGTTGCAAGAACAATGGGTGCCCTGCCCCATTGTTGGTGATGTTAACCTTGACCACCCAGCCAGTTGTGTCTGCCAGCTTTTTCCACTGCAAGGTCACCATTTTTCCCCTTTGTAATTGATAAATATTCATGGAGAGATCTCTACCACTATGCTAATATCCTGTCCCTCATCAAATCTATACCCATTGGCCTTAGCATTATCTGATGATTCCCACCTGAATCAGTACCACTATGATGGTGGCCAGATCATGATTTTTCTACTTCCATTATTCCTGCTTTTTAAAAATTTTTTGGCTTTCTACCGTAAGAAAGAGCTTCTCCCCTCCCCTCTATTTATTTAATCTGTGTGTTCTCATGGGATCCTATTTTAGTAACATTACAACTCATTGAATATCACTATTTATATTGATATTCAAACTACCTCATTTTTTGGCCAATTGGAACCCTTTCCAAGTGGCTTCTGTGTCACTTTAACAAGCCACCATAATTCTTTTTGCACTTCCATACTGTGGTGAAGTGAATATTGCTCCCCCAAAGATGTCCACACCCTAATCCCCTAAATCACCTGGATTATCTGGGTGGGCCCAATGTAATCAGGAAGATTCTTTTGCAGGGGAGGGGCAAGAGGGTCAAACAAAGAGGAGAAGTGAAGGCAGAAGCAGAGAGTCAGAATGATATGAACATGCCTCACTGCTCTTGAAAATGGAGGAAGGTGTCATAAAATTTTTAACATGAAGAACGTTCCTTCTTTTTACTTCTTGCATATCTTATATGTTGTGAGGAAATCTAAGCATTTTGTAGCCTTGTGTGAGTTTTCCTTAAGATGAAAACTAAGCTACATTTTCCAATTACTGATTTTTTTCCCCTAAGCTCTTGAATTCAATATGATTTTAAAAATATATATAGTTAGCTTACAGATAGATGCATCTGCCCTTCACTTTTACTGGAACTACTTTGGAATACTTATTTTAAGTACAAAATAATGTGCCTTTTATAAGTTTTGCGGTAAAACTTATGAAGATTCAGATTTAATGCTTAGAAATTACTTTGGTAATTATATTTAGTAGTTCTACAGTCTGACAATACGGTGTTTAAGGTAAAGTCAGTAGCAAGGGTAAAGTCATCAGGTAACCAGGCCATCGGGTGCATCAACTGTTATTGTGATTCTACATTCCCAGGACTGTAGCCCATGTTCCTGGGACATTGATATCGACCTGAGTAAGCCGATATGTTGATCCATAACTTCTTCAAAGTAAGGTCCGAAGGATCTTGTTTTAAGGGTGACATCCTGGAAGTGAAAAATTAATACAAGTATAAATTTTGGATTTGGCCCAACCCAGGTATAAATCTAGAAATGACACTTCCTAGCAGGGTAGCTGTGGATAAGCACTTAATTTCTCTAAACTTAAGTTTCTTTATTTCTAAACTAGAGCAACCCCAGTTTGTTTGTTTGTTTTTACTTCTGAAAGGGAGATAATAATATCTTACATGCTTGTAAGGGATTAAATGAGAGAATGTAAAAATGCTACACATGCAGTAAGTATTCAGCAAATAGCAGCCATTATTAAGAATAATTTTAGTCGTCTAGAGTAATTTTATTACAGCGCAAATCAACCCTGATGATAATCACAGTAACCTATGATTTCTTATTAATCCTTCTATCAACAATAGACTGAAGTTGGTTTTCATCCCATGCATTCTTTGTTTCTTCCAAGAAATTTTGAAGTGTACATGGGATTAATCAGATTGTATTTACATTACACTTAGTAAAATATCCAGTAAATACGGAAACACTTAAATATTAATATGACAGTGGTATATATCCTTAAGAGTTCCACGTCAGTGTTTTCTCTATATTCAAAATTGTTTCAGAGATGCAGTGTTTCTAAACAGCAATTGAATTCTTGCTGTTATTTGACAATATAACCATGGCCACAGTTAGTTTAACAACAACATGGTTATCATGTAATTACTTCAGATTATAATTTAACTTCAGTAATGTAGTGATTATTTCTACCAGTTTTGGTAGTACTTATTGTAATAAAAGTCTAGAAAGGAGAAAAGTGTATCCAAATGTATGCCTATATTATTAAACATTTTACATTAGGTGGATAATCTTTAGAGATGTGATCTTGACTGACGTGGTAGAAACAGATAAAATAGGAAATATAAGATCTCTTCTTCAATAAGATTGGTCATTATTTCATCTTTGTGGCAACATCTGCTGGGGGAATTAAAATAAAATTTCCTTTCTAAGGAGAATCTGCCTGCTCCAGCTAAAGCAGTGTGTATACATGGAATGCCAGGAAATTCTGACATATTGTTGGAGCAAACACTTCAAAAATATCTTGTGTTTATTCTGTTATAGCAACTTCACTGTGTGGTGGTTGGAAGTGAAAATGCCAAGCGATATTTTGAAGCAGTTCAAGGATCAAAAGAGCATCGAGGAGAGCTTTTTGGGGTCTCTAATCTCTTCAAACTACGGTCCCAAGGGTCTTGTCTTACGAAGGATATCCTGGAGGTGTGAAATTGCTCTCTGACCTTTTCAATAACATTTAAGCATGGTTTTCTCTTGTTTAAGAAACTTGAAATGTAATTGCTGGTCTCTTTACAGAGAAATTTTTGGTTTTCTTTAAAAAATGCCTTATGTTTAGAATTTCTACTTTTTGAGAAACAAGAAATAAATTATTGTACCTCTAAACTAAGATTTTCCCATGCATAGTTATAAATAATGTACAGACACAAATCCAGATACTTATACTAGATAGTGTGACCTCCAATGCCATTTTCAGACTGGGAAAAAGAAGTTTATTATTTTGAAACAGCGGTTGAAGTCAGGAACTAAAAAAAAGAGACTTTGCTAAATAAACAAAAATATAAAATGTGTTTTGATTAAGTTACCAAATACTCCCTGAGATGTACTCTCATGCCTCATGGAGATTTTTGTTTTCTGTTCCCAATAAAAATTCCACACTAATATTCCAAACTCTCCCAGTTGTGTTCATCTTCAGCTTACAGATGTTTCTTATTCTTCAAACAGGGTATTTATAGCCTTTAAATTTTTTAAATTCTATAATATACCAGACTACTAAAGATATTAACCTATATTCTGGTTGATATTGATGAGAATCATAATATCCTGGACTATTATCATTTCAAACCTCCCTCGAATCATTGGAGGAGGAAACTGAGTCTTGGAATTAAGGATATTTTCCTTAACTTCCAGGACTTTGTAATACTGAAATATATACTTCATTTATTCATTAGGTACTATAAATCAGTTCAAGGAGCATTTTGATCCCTATCCTCAAGGAACTTAGACCATCTTGATGGGAGGTGGGACAGAACATTCACATAGTGAACATGTAACATCAGAAAACACATGTAAAGCAAGCAGCAGTATGACTCTAACCTAATGCTAATCAGTGATCACTGAAGACTTAACAGGACGGCATTGTTATTTGTATCCTGTGAATATTGCAACTGCTACACAATATCTGGTGTCTACTGCTGAGTTTTTATTTTATAGTAACTGTTTGATTCTGAACTGAGTGGCCCATTTAAAGTCCCCTTTCTTTGATCTCTTTCATGTTTTTGAATATGCTGCCTCTTATTATGGACTTCTTTTTGCCAATTCTTTTCTCTAACCTATTTGATTAGCCTTGTTTGCCCTCCAGGACCCCCTCAGATATTATCTCTGTCTCAGGGTACTGCAAACACACCAGCCTATATTTATGGTTCTAATTTGAAATCATTACCTATAAAACATATGTAAGCATTGTATTACTTACCCTGTTTTCTGCTGTAGTTTAGTTCTCTGTTTTATGAGAATAGCCACCTTATTGCTTTGTTAAACAAGTGCTAGGTAAGGCATATCAGTATGACAAGTTATTAAATGGAAATTTCTCTTGTTGCTGGTTGTCCTAAGTATATCTTGGTTCATCTCCAGGAGTGTTTGTTTATGAATGGCAGGGCCCTCCACCTCTTCTTTTGTTTGCAGTTCTTGCTAGACACATCATTGGCACTCAGTTACTAAATATTGAGTTAAAATTGCTCACTCGTTGTCAACCAGAATATAAAATTATTCAGGCCTGTTTAAGTTCATGTTGCTTTTGGCCAAACAATGCTTTAAAATATTATTCCAAGCCCTATATAATGAAAGCATATATCACAACATAAAAGAAGAACTTCACTTCTTGTGATTCATTTTAATTTTTAAAGGCTATAGAAAATCCCTTTTAAAATGTTTTAAGATGTGGAAATTTGAATTTATAGGACATTTAATCTGATGATTTCTAAGCAGTTCAGTTCTATGTTTCATTATCTTTTTTAATCTCTATTATAGTTTCTCATTAGAGTTATATTGAGAGTTCACTTCACAAATATTGACTAAGTATATACTAAATTTCAGGTACTATTCATAGAGCTACACATACAGAAATTAATAAAATACAAAAAATCTTGCCTACAAAAAAATTTACATTCTATTTAGGGGAGACAAACAATAAGCAGGAAAAAATAAGTGAAGTATATGTATTATGATGGTAGGTTCCAATGCCACAAATAGAGCAGGTGGAAGATGAATAAGTTCTGGAGACCTAATGCTCAGCATAGTAATTATAGTCAACAGTACTATATTGTATACTTCGAAGTTGCTGAGGGACTAGATCACAAATGTTCTTACTACAAAAAAGTATAATTTTGTGGCATGATAGAGATGTTAGAAAATGCTATGGTAGTAATCATACTACAATACATAAATGTATGAACATGTTGTACTCCTTAAAGGCGTAAAGTGTTATATGTAAATTGTACTTCAATTAAAAAAAAAAAGAGTGGGAAGGGAAATAGGGAGACCATCAAGGAAACAGCATTTCATTTATAAATGGAGTAGCCAAGGAAGAGCTCACTGTGAGATTGCATGTGATCCTTTGAAGAGACTGGGGAGGAAGATGTGATTTAGACATAGGAACAAATGCTAAGGCCATGAGGGAGGAGAATGCCTAGCATGATCACAGAATGGCAAGGAGGACAGAGTGGCTAGAGTGGGGTAAGCAAGAGAGCAAGTGGTGGGACTAGAGAGATGTTAGGAAGCAGGGCATGCAAGGACTTTGACTTTAACTTTGGGGGAAACCAAAAATAATTAGAGAGTTCTGAACAGAACAAAGACATAGTCTGACCTATATTGTCTAGATTAAATATTAAGAAGTAGATTGTAGCCCTGGTCGGCATGGCTCACTTGGTTGGAGCATTGTCCCATAAACCAGAAGGTCAGGGGTTCCTTTCCCAGCCAGGGCACATAACTGGGTTGTGGGTTCCAGCACATAGGAGAAGTCCCAGTTGGGGTGTATATGAGAGGATATCAATGGATGTTTCTCTCTCACATTGATGTTTCTCTCCCTTTCTGTCTCCCTCCCTTCCCCTCTCCCTAAAATCAATAAGCATATCCTAAAATCAATAAGCATGTCCTTGGGTGAGGGGGAAAAAAAAGAATTACGCTGAAGTACAAGAGTAGAAGCAAGAAGTGAAATAGGGGAATAATGCAATAATCCACCCTAGAGATGACAGTGGTTTGCACCAGGGAATAGTGGTGATGGATGGGATAGAAGGTACAGAAAAAGAGGAGTTAATGATAACTCCACAGTGTTGGGCTGCACTGCAACAAAGGACTGTAGTGCCAGTTATGCACCACACAGGGGTTCTGTTCACTTGAAGGATTTGGGGTTCTGCCACTTGGATCTGTTGTAGCCATTTAGCTTCTGTTGAAAAGATGAAGGGCAGTCCCGGGAAGGAGGCTCCCCACTCCCTTGTGGTAATGGCCTCTAGGCATTGGAAGAAAAAGCCTAGCAATTTAGGAACTGTTTGTCATTCTCTAAACTTCGTTAGGGGAAAGTCTCCCTTGTTGCCCTGGATACCAGGTGGCTGGAACCATGCCATTGGTATGTCTGTATATTCATAAGTCGGACATTTGTAACTCTGGTGATGGTAGTACTATTTCTCCTTCTTCCATCAACAAATAAAGCCTTAAAAAAGAAATGCATTAATTTCCTTTTGAAGGAAAATTTAATATTCTAGAATTTAGGCAATTGAATGTTTATGCTTTAAATACATAAATATTTTTCCAAAAGATGTAGCAATCCTGTTACATAATTAAGGCCTTTTTAAATTTCATATTAAGATGGACCTTTTCATTTTGATGTTTACTATACCTAATGAATCAATAAACATTTTAATAAATGTGAACAATAAATATACTGGCAATATAGGCTAGAATATCAAGTTCCCAGTACTCAACATTACCTGTGCTGTTTGAAATGTAGACAGTTTGTCCTTACTATAGTTATTATATAGACATGCTTATTATGGAATCATTACTGTGAATATATATAGCATTTTTCCACCCTCCGTCACCTACTAGAACTTTTAATAGAGTTGGCTGAAAAGTATTATTAGCATTATATCTGAAAAAAATAAGCTTTAAAACAAGAAATAAGAGTATTTTATGGGCCCAGCATGCTTTCACTATACCCCTCTACTACCTAAGAATTAAGGTTATTTTAAAATGTTACATAAAGTGTATATGAGTTCCTTAATTAGCAAATTGAAAAATAACATTAAGAGAGTTAAAGTAAGCTGCACTGAGTTTTTCTTTCATAACCCCAAGTTTTAGTGTGCCATTGCTGTTATCTGTTTTTTCTTTAACCCCATATTTTACACATTTATTTGCATTATTTATAGAGAGAAGGCCAAGTGGAAGCAGGGGTCATGACAGCCAGAACATGGTTGAAAGAGGAACCTCAAGTGCACAAACTAGAAGAAGTAAGCAATATTTTCATTTATAGCCCAGACCTCCTAGAAAACATGTACTGTGACAATTTTAGGTTTACTTTCCTTTTTCCTTCATTTTTCAATGTGTAAAGAAAAAGTCTTTTTAAAAAAAAACATTAAGAACACAACATCGGAGGACTGTCAGTAAAATTAATAACTTAGGCTAACTTAACCTTTTTTTACGCTTAATCTTTATTACATTCTTTTTCTATTATCATTTAGTCCCCTCGAGCCCCCTCCACGCAGTGGTCCATATACTGTGGTCCGTGTCCGTGAGTCCAAAGAACAAATTCAGGAACACTCATCCGGCATTTATATCCAGAATGGAATTTTAACTGTACTGAACTGTAAATGCAAAATTAAATAACCTATGTAGGTGACCAATCCAAGCTAAATCAATAACTTTTACTGAACAACAAATTAAATGGAAACATAGCAATCTAAGTGTATTTAAGATTATTAAATCCAAATATCAAAATTATTCTCTTAAGTAGATATGTAATTTTGAATCCTTGATCTAATAACCTTTTTAGTAATTTTTCATCTCACATGCAACAAAATATATTTGTTATCAAAGGACCTTTTTAAAAGTAAATGACATTTAAAAGTAAAGAAGATGTGTAGAATTTTTTCTTATTATAGTTTCTTGTTTGTTTTTAGAGGTTTAATAAATTTTTACTAGCCCAATGATTGGGAATATGGAGTCAGTATTTTTCTAAATTTATAGAAATACAGAATATCAAATGTTGACAGAAGTACTGCTAGATAATATTTTCCCCAAAACTCTTACTAATGAAGCCTCAGTCTTAGGAAACTAAAGGATATACTGAATCCTGACTGATGTGAAAAAATTAAATATTGGTTTTAAATTTCTACCAAATTTTGCTTCAAAATATCTTCAGTATTTTTTTATTTCTGGTTGTCAAGATCCTATTCAATCTTATTTTTATTTTTAATTCATTAGAACCACTTTCCAGCTGCAACTTTTCTTTGTTAACTCCTATTTATTTCTTTCTCAAAGCAGGATTAAAAATGTCTGCTAGACTACAGTGAGCAATAAGTTGTGTGCTTTTCACTTTTGAAGCCAGAATAGGTCCCTGCCTCTGATAAGCTGACTATTGAGCTCTATCTTTTTCTTATAATTTGGTAATGTGGTTATTTAGTTTAAACTTTTATTTATTTTGGACAGTTATCCAACTTGAAAAGAGAAAAGAGTGTACCAGACTATAATATTAAATACTTTATATTTGTTTATTAAATGTACTTTTACAAAATACCAAGTAATATACTTGTACAAATTATCTGCCCAAGTTTAATTCCTTTCCAGTACGATAGATGTGATGTCATTATCTTGAGGTCTAATATTTCTGTCATTGCTTCCTATATAGCCTACAGAGCCTGACTGTCAAGAATGCAGAGGGCCAGAGCAACCTGCATGTGGTCTATGCGATGACTTTAGTGATGATGAATCAGTGGAAAACTCAAGAATAAAGTCTACTAAAAACAAAGCATCTGACTCAAGTAAAGCTTCAGGTTCTCCTGGACAGCTTACCTTACTCCAGTGTGGTTTCTCTAAATTGCTTGAGACAAAATGTAAAGCAGTTGATGATAGTGATGAAAATATTGCATCTGATGATAAAAGTTCTGATGAACAGCCCACATGCCTTTCAGCAGAAGCCAAAGATGTTGGTTTTCAGAAAAGTCAAGTCTCTCTTGGTACTTCAAAACATCAGAAATTAGCCAACAGCCTAAGTCCAAATGAAAAATATATTTTTAATAAAAGTGAAAAGATTTTAGAACAGACTATTTCTTCTGAGTCTGATGATAATACAAATTTTAAAAATACAACTGACCACCATTGCAATTTACAGAATGTCACAGAATCGGAAGATAGTGATGTCATCTTTCCCACACAATATACAGCACAGAAATCCCCTAAGAATAGTGTAAGACTTAAAACAGCCAAGGATAAATATGAAGATTCTGAAACAGAAAGCCCTGTAAAAATAGCAAATAATGATGATGATACAAAGACCAATGTCAGAGAAAGTGGACGAATTTCAAAACAATTAAATCCTGTGAACCTGAAATCTATTATGAAAAGAAAAGGTAGTAGTGATATTAGTGATGAGTCTGATGACATTGAAATTTCCTCTAAGTCAAGCGTAAGAAAACAAAGAGCTACTAGTTCTTTGAGGTTTAAAAGAAAAAAGGAAAATAAAAGGGAACTTTACACTTTTCCTAAAACAATGAAGAAAGCAAACCAACTGTATGCAGCAGATGAAGATTATAATTCTACTGATGATTTTACATCCTCAGATGATGATTTTTCTGTTAGCCACATCGGTTTCTCTAAACAGAGACATAGACCAAAAACTTCAAAAGATAGAATTGGTTTCTCTTCAAAATTTCCTAGCCATAAGAAAAATAGCACTTTTGTACCAAGAACACCAATGAAATTTTCAAATGAGAGCGCTGTCAATCAAGAGCAGATGTATGAATCAATGGATAAATTTTTAGGTAACTGCAGATACTTTCTGAAAACTTTTTTTAAATGTATTTTGTGAAATCAAGTAATTCTGTAAGAGATTCTTGAATTAGGTTGTAAAACAGCTCTCTACAATCAAGATGCTACATTGAGGCACAAATGAGGAACTGGGTGGGTGGCAGGGAAGAGGGAAGACCACCTAGGTCAAGATAGAGAACTTTGTCATGCCCCCAGGACCTCCTACCTGTGCCCCATTATTCTAGTACTTTTCTGGTAATTACTTTTTTGCATTTTTATGATTTTAATCACACAAATGTGTATCCCTACACATAATTTGGTCTTTTTTTAATTTTGTAGAATCTCTTTTATCCTGTAGTATTTTTCTTCATCTCTTCCATTTCCATATGATTTATCTGTTGATTGATGGGCTACCTATAGGGTTTTCCTCAATTTGAATTTTGCTAATTATGTTCTTTTGGTGCAGCTGAACATATTCCTTTGCCCTCTATATTTCCTGCAAATTAGCAGTGTCCGGGACTCTGTCAAACTCAGGTTAAATCCCTTTGACAAGACAAAAGTTACTGTTTGGGAAGTCTATGGGAGGCACAAAATGTTTGCCAATCTTTATTTATTTTTTTTAAACCTCATCGGAGGACTTTTTAAATTAATTTTAGAGAGAGAGAAACATTGAATGGTTGCCTACTGTACGCCCCCTGACCGCACCCTGACCGTGGATTAAACCTGCAACCTAGGAATGTGCCCTAACCAGGAATTGAACCTGCAACCTTTGGTGTACCTGACTATGCTCCAACCAACTGAGCCACCTGGCCAGGGCACTGGTCTCTTGGCAACCATTGATGCTTAATACCTATAACTATTTATTCATTCAGAGTAGCAAAACATTTTCTACTTCTCTCATTTCTGTTTTATTTGTTAGTTAGAATGCCTCTGTAAGGAGATACTTGCATTTACTGTTACCCAGTGATACGGTTCATATGGGGAAGGCAGGGAAAATAATTCCTTCTTTACTAGTTTTTAATATAATAAATTAATCCCCTATCATCCATAGAGGGAATGATCTTTCTAAAAATCATTATGAATAATTGATTGAAACACATTTAATGGATCTCAATACATTGTAATTAACATCATTATTGAGGCTCAATTGTCTCATCTTTGCACAGTGAGAGCCTTTGTATGTGAGCATTTGGTTCCCGAGACCCTTTGACATTATGCTCGTCATCTCTGATTGCTATCTGATATTACAGAGTGTTCTACAATCAGCTCTTATATTTTCTGTTCCAGGCGAGAAGTCTTGGTTTCTTTTAATGAGAACTCGTGTTTCAAGACCACAGTCTTGTGCTAGGAGTGATATTGCTACTATTATCTTGGCTATTATTTCTGGGCCTTTTCAGTGGACAGAATGTATATGTGTACATACACACATACACATTTATATTTATATGTGTATATAAAAGTATATGTTTATATGTATTTATGTATTTATATGCATGTTTATCTACACATATGTATTTTTATGTACGATGATGAAATACTTCCTAAGTTTCTATTAATACTTCCATATTTATATTGATAATTTGAGACTATAGAATTTTTACTAAACCTCTTCTGCATTACATTTGTATACCATTTTATCTTTAATGTTAATTCTGGTTCTTAAGCATATAGGGAATGATTTAATTATGTTTCATGATTACTCATTTGTTTTATTCCATACTATATAAATAGGTCATAAAAGTAAAAATACCAAAACTACTACTTTATGATTCCTGGAAATGTGCTCTTCCGTTTCTTCCTATTTTAAAAGTGGATGTACTACATCTATAATGTCAGAACATGCAGACATTGTTTTGTATAGTTTCCCCTTCTTAGACTTAATTTACTTTTGGTTTGCAGGTAACTCACAATTTAATGCTCCCCATTAATTCTTATAGCAATGTTTCTCAAGTCATTTTGGTTGTCAGAAGCTTATTTTCTAGCAGATCCCTCAGGAAGTGCTCATGAGAATAATATTCCCTGAGATTCTTGTTAACAGTTTGTGCCTTTTATACTTAAAAATCATTTTTACTAGGTATAAAATCCTTGGCTCAAACTTTCTTAATTTTAATTATGTAGTTTTATTTTTTTCTGGTATGAACTGTTGTGGGGTGTGTGTGTGTGTGTGTGTGTGTGTGTGTGTGTGTGTTTTCTTAATGCCCAAAGGGTATTTTTCTTTTCATTGATGTCCAGTAATTTTACTGGGTTGTGTTTTGGTGTTTGTCTTGTGTTTGGGCTGCTGTAAGAAACTGCCATAGACAGGATGATTTTACATTTACTTCTCACAATTTCAGAGGCTGGAAGTCTAAGATCAGGATGCCAGCACCGTTAGGTTTCTGGTTAGGGCACTTTCTTATAAGGGTACTAATCCCATTCATTAGGGCCCCACCCTCAAGACCTAATTGTGCCTTCCAAAGGTGCAACTGCAAATACATCACACTGGGGACTTCAACTTACCAATTTGGCTGTGGGCAGGGTAGGGGGCCATGCTCAGCCCACAGCAGTATTGGTTATTCTGGGTCAGTATTCTCATAGTGTAGTTTCAACTTGGTTTTTATTTTAGGAAAACTTTCTTGTACTAGGGCTTTTAGTTACTTGTTTTATTTCTGTGCTTCGGCTTTCTTCTTCAGGGACTCCTCTTATTCAAATGTTCAGTCTTCTTTACCTGTCCTCAAAATTTGTCACATTTTCTCAAATCCTTTTTTATATCTTTTTCATCTCTTTTTGCTTTTAAAATATTTCTTCTGTTTCTCTTAAAGCATTATCTATTGTGTTCATTCTGTCTTATGTTCCTTCTGGTTTAGTCTTTAGTTCTGAAATAATATTTCTAATTTCTAATTCTCGACTTCTGTCACTCATTTGTAAATTATTTTCATTCTGATTTATGTTGCCAGTCCTGTGTTTTATTATTTTCTGAAAGTCTTTTTACCTCATTTTGAAATCAGTTACAATTCTAATCTGTTTTGTGAGCACATATATCAGACATGTTTTCATTGTAGGAATAAATTCTGCTGCTTACTCTCTTTTACAATAATTTTTATGAGATTTGACCCTCTGGCTTACTTTTATAGAAATTTCTCCATGAATTTTTAAATGAGGCAGAATGTAAGAAATTTTTTGTAACTTCACAAGGATCCATGTCTGTGATTTTTATACAGTGTTCCTCCCTCTATCCCTCTTCCCCGCTTTGCTCTACACCTTCTCTTTTCCTCATTCCTGTTCTTCTGACCCTAGATCCCGCTCGTTTTGACTCCCCTCCAAGAGCTTTTCCTCACTGTGTGGCCATGACCTGAGGGTCCTGGTGGGTCAGTTTGGAAAGTTCCTGAGTGCTGCTTGTTCTAGCCCCTCAGGCTTTTACCTCAGCCCACGCATCCACTCAGCATTGGAGAGTAGAAAACCTTCCCAGATTCACTGTTACCTCCTTTTGGCCCATTGTCCTTCCCACTGAATACCTGTTGGTTATTCTGGGGTCTCCTGTTCTCAGATCTATCAGGTGTCATTCTGTTGCTTCCTTCTTCCTGCACACTAACCCTGATGTCATGCAGAGTGTGTAGCTGTTGGGTTTTCCCTACTTCCTTGTGTTTTAGGGCTCATAGGAATATCTTGTCATCTGACTTAGTTGTTAGTGCTGCCCATGACTTTTGGTTCTACTCTCTAGCTGCTGTTTGTTCTCCGGTAAAGATTCAGAAACATTGAAGAACTGCTTCCCCTCCCACCACCTTGTGCCGAGAATCCGTTTAATGATGTTAAGAGTTAGCTCAAAAGTATTTGACTCATTCCCAAAGAGCTACATAAAAAAAAAAAAAGCTAGTATATAAGCAAGGATACAATTATATAGAAACCTTAATTATTGTGATTAATTTATTTGCAAATCAAGCTTTCCTTTGCAGTTATTAGTAGTCTCATTTAATCATGGTGATATGTATCTTGATACCCTTGTAACTAAGTATTGGACTATTGTGCTACAACTGCAGCTACAACTCAAGTTTAGGTTTAAGGAATTATTGCATAACTATTTTTTAATCAGCTAAGGGTTTTTTTTGTTTGTTTTTACTGTCCAAAAAGGTATCAGTAGTTAATGTGGAACTAGTGCTATTTTGAGTAAGGCATAAAATCTATCACCAAGATGAAGAAAGATCTTAGTAAATTTGCTACCAGAAGAATCCTTCTGAAGGTTTTAAACTGTTACCATATGCATTCCCTGGTGTTTTGAAATTTAAGGAGAATAATATCTCAGTTGCTTTGTCAGTCATTTTATTTAACATCTTGTTTTCACATGATTGGTGATATCGGTTGAGAGAGGTTCAGGACTGAAACAGCAAAAGTGTTGAAGGTCATAATCGAGGTTCATTGCCAAAGCTATTGGAGAGAGCTTTTACAGACCTCAACTCTAGGTGCCTAGAAACAAAGCAATAAAGAAGTAGCCGTCTTTAAACTTTTTTCAGATAAAAGCTATAAGTTAATCTTTTTTCATTTCCTAAAAAGCTTCCAATTTTTACATTCTCTGGGAATATGTACAAAAAAGACAGAATATAAACAGTAAAATTGAACAAAGCCAACCAAACGAAACTCCCTGGTCATAAACCCTTTGCTCCCACTTCATCACTGTGATCAAGTACATGTTTAAAGAAACAGATGAGGCTAGCACTGCTCTTTAAATTTGTAAATAATCTTTTTAAAAACCACAGGAACAACAAATTCATAGAAACAACCTTCTACCATGACTTTTCTGCTGGCCAGACTCTCTCATTTATGGTTTAAGTTTAAGGATTGTTACCTAATCTTAGATGCTGTCATATTGATGAAAGGGAAAAATCCTTTCCTAGTTACCATAGACCAACATATTTAAATAGTTCTTCTTTTTAATTTTTTGAAAAAATATTCTAATGTTAATGGGCAAACAATGTTTTTTCTTGAGGATTAAAAACAAAACAAGCATAACTTATTTAGTGTATTGCTGATAATTTTTAAAATATACATGGACCCATATTGCATCATAATGAGACATCACTTAATAATCATCAATTACCTCCTAGATGGTGTTCAGGAAGTGGCTTACATTCACTCAAACCAGAACGTGATTGGATCAAGCAAAGCTGAAAATCATATGAGCCGATGGGCAGCACGTGATGTATTTGAATTGAAGCAATTTTCCCAGCTTCCTGCTAACATAGCTGTTTGCATTTCAGAGGTAAGAAGCAAAGAGGATGCTGTCATCTTTAGTTTTTATCTCATTTTCACAGAAGTTACTCAACAGGATCTTCTCTTAAGCACCCTCTTCAAAAGTAGCTGCTAAGATTATAAGTGACATACAAATAAGTGTTAAAAAAAAAAACACTTTTTGGGCCCTAGCTGGTGTGGCTCAGTGGATTGAGTGCTGGCCTGCAAATCCAAAAGTTGCTGGTTCAGTTCCTTAACAGGGCACATGCCTGGGTTGCAGGCCATGTCCCCAAATGGGGGCATACTAGAGACAACCAATTGATGTTTCTCTCACACATCAATGTTTCTCTCCCTCTCTCCCTCCCTTCTCCTCTCTCTAAAAATAAATAAATAAATAAATATTTTTTAAAAAGGCATTATTTGATGCACTGTAGTCACTGAAGATGTTTTATAGTACAAAACAAATCAATATCTAAATGTCTAACAATTTGGGGTTGCTTAATAGTTTCCCTCAATAAAAGTTTGCTAGAAATGAGGAATTTGAAGGAATAAGGCAGTTAAATGAAAACCAAAACAAGATTTCCTTCCAAAAATTTTCATCTAAAATGGAGACACACAAAGACGAGCTTCCTATAGAATTTACTTTTTTAGCAAAAAGATGTTTATAATGTTAAAATTAAGAAATACTTTATGTGGGCTCTTATTTAAATTGCTGTTATATAGAAACAAGTCTTTATGTAAATATGATATTTATACATAGTCACTTTCATCAAAGGTTTTAAAAATATTTTCTCTCTTTGGCTTATTATCCTTTATTAATTCCTAAGAACTAAGTGTGTGAGGAATAGTTTTCTACCACTCTGTGTAGGAGTTTAAAATGCATGCTGTATAAAACAGAGTTGCTTAGTTTCAAGTTAGCATTACTTTTAAGAATGAAGGGAAGAAAATACTTCTGAACTGCCAGCTTTCCTCATTTATTTGTACCTCAGCTGGTTCAACAAAGGATTTGGATTATCTTAACAATAAAATCAGAAAAGAAAATGAAATTTAGAACCAAGGGAAATACATATTAAACTGAAAGTTGAAGAGTGGGAGAAAGTTAGAATGCAGATATATAGGGCATAATGTTCTTACCCAGATATTTTTTTAAGGACAAATTTGATTGAGTTGCTGGTAGACAAAACAAAGGAAGTAAACTATTTAGTGTGTTCTCAACTAGTGCATTTGAAAACGTGTGTGGGCAGTTTGGGTGGTCACAATGACTGCGTGCCCAATGGCATTAATGTCTGGAGGCCAGGGATACTAAATGGGGCATGGGGGTGAGCTGGGGAGGGGGACATCCTACTTGCCAAGAATTGTTTTGCCCAAAATGCCATAACACCCTGCTGAGCTAAATGGTTGTCCTTAAAGGAGGGGAGGGTTGAGAGGAGAGGGGGTAATACCATCCCTACTAAAGAAGAGAAGAGCTTTTCTGCACTTAATATGAAGGAAATTTGTCTCTGGGATCTTAAATGAGTACCACTGAGTGATCTGGTGAAGTCAGTTGTCTTTAATGTAGCGTATATGAGATAACAGACTTTGAAAGGCTGTGCTTTTAGTATTTTTTAATGTTATCCCAAGAGCCAGTGCCAAAATTCAACTCATGGAAAGTCATGCTGCTTTTTTATATTCTAGAAATATACGGTCTCTCAACTAACACTGTAGACAGCATTCCTACAGTAGGAGCTATCTGGAAAAGATCGGCGGAAATATACTGGGTTTGCCAGAAATTTGCTTTATTAGAATAAAGAGCTTATTTTTTAATAGATAGCCAATTTTTATTAGTTTTTTTTAATGCTCTTTTTTAAACAAACAAATTTTAATGGGAAAAAAGTAAGATAGCTTGGGAAACCTTTGTAGTAGGTGTGAATGAAATAATTTAACTGGATATTAGGCATTAGCTGTTATTTAAATATTTTTCAGAGGAGAATTTTACAGGCATATAATTTCTCCCAAAATGGATCTGGGAAGGAACGCTTAGATATAGAAGCAATAAAAAATCCCTTTGGAACCTTCTCAAAGAACGTTGTAAAAATGAAAATGCTGCAAATTCACTTTGTCTTTAATTGGCAGGGAGCGAGGAAAACAGAATGGAGTTTATCCTTATATTAGCAATGCCAATAGTTGTCAACTTTTTCCAGCCCCAACATTCACAATCTTATCAGAAATTTTGTTTCTTCACAGTGATATTCATAATAAGGGATATTTCTTGCCAGGAAACAAATTGGAGTTTCCTCCCCTGGGATTTCTAATACATCCTTTGAGGCCATGCATCTCCCCCATCACACGTAGACCAACTTAGGAGATTTTTTCAGGAAAAAAGAAGAAATCTATTGTTTCATGACTAAATCATGGTTGGTATAACGTATTCAGGGAAGTTAGAAAACCATTAAGCAGGATGCCCAATCTCATGCCACAAGTGCTAGCAGGCCAGGGACTGCGTGTGCAAACATGCTCATTTCAGTGGCTGACTTCTTTAAATCAATACTTGATACAGTGATGGTCCAACAGAATAAAATGCAGTCCTTTGGGTTTGACCTGTACCATTTAATGCGTTGGGTAAATAGTATAGCCATACTGTAATACCTTGAAAGTTGTAATGTATTACATATATATAAAAATTACTCAGGAACAATGTTATAAACTTACCATTAAGTTTTGTCTTGTTTGTTATATGAAAATCAGAGTTTTCAAAATAGATAATGATCATACCTAGTTGCAATGTTTTTAGTTTTTCACTGATGTCAAAAATTAAAGCTACTGCCCTGGCTGGTGTAGCTCAGTGGATTGAGCATGGGCTGCGAACCAAAGTGTCGCAGGTTCGATTCCCAGTCAGGGTACATGCCTGGGTTGCAGGCCATGACCCCCAGCAACCGCACATTGATGTTTCTCTCTCTCTATCTCCCTTCCTTCCCTCTCTAAAAATAAATAAATAAAATCTTTAAAAAAAAAATTAAAGCTATAAAAATATAAGATATAAAAGATATAAAGATATAAAAATATATCTAAAATATATAAAGATATATAAAAAATATATCTAAAGATATAAAAATATAACCCCTGAGACATACCTTATGCTTTTTTCCTTTTGTATTAATTGGAAATAAATAAATAAAAATGAATATAATGAGTCCATCTTCAATTTGTTGAACTCTATAATCTTCCTGAGGCAGAAGGACTTTTGATGATTATAACTAGCCTATGGCATGGACTGTACTCAGAATGTCAAAGAATTTGAATTCTAGCTCTACCTCATACTCCTTGTGTGACAATGAGAAAGTTACTTACCTTCTCTGTGCCTCCATTTCCTTGTGTTTAAAATATGAGTAATTATACTGTTTACTTCAAAAGGTTTTTACAAAAACTAAATTAATACCTATAAAATGCTCTGAACAGTTCCTGATACACTATAGCACTCAGTGAATAATAAGTATTGTTATTACTACCACTGGATAAGACTATCTTTTAATTCCCCTAGAGTTGTTGACCCCTGGGGGATTAACAAATTAAAATCCAGACACTGTTGTATGCAACCACATTTAACTATAAGAGAATAGGTGGTACTAGGGAAACTGGGAATTTGGGCTCCCTTTAAAAACCAAACAAGAATGTTCATTTGAAGAGTATTTTTCAAAATTTTGTATGTGACTATTAAGTTTTGTTTATGAAAATAGAAAGCCACTCAGTACTACTGTATAATTTATTTCATGGTAGTCTATATTAGAATTGAAGTTATTAGTAATGCTTTTCTTTAAAGCTGATATATTTATTTTCTCTTTAAATCTATCAATTGATGTGACTGCTCCTAATTTATCTCCATAGCTGCTGACTGACATTCAGTGAGTGAGACATCACTCTGCCATCATTCTAGTCCTATTGCATTATCTTTACACATAATATTCTGAGTTTTCCTCATTATAATTCTTCTGGAAACTAAATACTATTTCAGTAATGTCAGGGAGATAGAAGATAGTCATGTTTTTCTCTTTACTGAAACTATTTGTAAAGATGGTTAAATTAAGGATTTCTGAAGAAACTTTTAAAATATTATTTTACATAGATGAGATATTGATGACATTTCTAATGTTCATGATCACTGATTTCATCATATCTGGTCAATAGTACTTCCACACTTTTAATGAGTAAATCATTGAAACATTGGTTAGGGATATGTATCTCACTCACTGAAAAGTTTTGCAACTTGCTGTATGGTGGTGGGAGGCAATAATGAATTAGCAGTTTTGAAAAATATTAAAAACGGTTATGGGAAGAAAGAATAAAGTAAGGCAAAGGGAAATGAAGCCAGGTGAAGACAAAAGAGACTCATCCATAGTGTTAGAAAAATTTGCTAACCTCCTGCTTCTGAAGACTCCAAAAACCCCCAGACCTCCCACCTATAGTACAGTGTCTTTCATCTGGGACTCACATCAAGAATCTTTTGATTACTGAGAATCCTTCTGAGTGCTTCATGTCTGTCACCAAAGTTTTATTAGAGACCTTTATTTGTATTTGAACGATTTTGTGTCCCTGTGTGTGCACGTGTGCTTCTGCAGCCAGATGCTCGGGTTGCCTCACTTCCTAAGAAAACAAATCCTATGACTCTGTATGGCGGCAGTGCACGATTGACAGGGATCGCAATTTGCAAGTATTTCACTTTCCAAGGAATACTATAGTTGAGTCTAAGTTAAAGCCTTTAACTAAAATGCACGGGAATATACTAAATGGAAAACTTACAGAAGAGAGGTAATGCATATCACAATCCTAGACAAAATTCTGTGGTCTTTCAGTGCCACAGTTTTTCAATCCTTTTACCATAATTCTTGATAACCAAAATCACAAGAGCTGTGACCTGCTTTTCAAATTCAACTACGTATTAAGAAAAGGCCTAATATATATACTACTATCTTTTCTATCTTTCCTTTGGTTTCTTGTAGTTCATACTTTTATAAATAATTTTTACTTATGGGACACACTTTATAGATGTCTTGAATG